TCCAAATCTTACCCCAAGATTCGTATATAGACATGGGTCAAAAATTACCACCTCCATAACTCGGTCAAATCTTATCAGATTTCCACGAAGTTTGGATTTTTCTTCATGGTTTTCCGTCTAGATTAATCTGGCATTCAAATCTCGACACCGATTTTTTAGTCGAAATTCATGTCCAAATCTTACCCCAAGATTCGTATATAGACATGGGTCAAAAATTACCACCTCCATAACTCGGTCAAATCTCATCCGATTTTCACGAAGTTTGGCGTTTTCTTCATGGTTTTCCCTCTAGATTAATCTGGCATTCAAATCTGAACATCGATTTTTAGTCGAAATTCATGTCCAAATCTTACCCCAAGATTCGTATATAGACATGTATCAAAAATTACCACCCCCATAACTCGGTCAAATCTCATCCGATTTCCACGAAGTTTGGCTTTTTCTTTATAGTTTTCCCTTTAGATTAATTTGGCATTCAAATCTCGACACCGATTTTTTAGTCGAAATTCAAGTCCAAATCTTACCCCAAGATTCGTATATAGACATGGGTCAAAAATTACCACCTCCATAACTCGGTCAAATCTCATCCGATTTTCACGAAGTTTGGCGTTTTCTTCATGGTTTTCCCTCTAGATTAATCTGGCATTCAAATCTGAACATCGATTTTTAGTCGAAATTCATGTCCAAATCTTACCCCAAGATTCGTATATAGACATGTATCAAAAATTACCACCCCCATAACTCGGTCAAATCTTATCAGATTTCCACGAAGTTTGGATTTTTCTTCATGGTTTTCCGTCTAGATTAATCTGGCATTCAAATCTCGACACCGATTTTTTAGTCGAAATTCATGTCCAAATCTTACCCCAAGATTCGTATATAGACATGGGTCAAAAATTACCACCCCCATAACTCGGTCAAATCTCATCCGATTTCCACGAAGTTTGGCTTTTTCTTTATAGTTTTCCCTTTAGATTAATTTGGCATTCAAATCTCGACACCGATTTTTTAGTCGAAATTCAAGTCCAAATCTTACCCCAAGATTCGTATATAGACATGGGTCAAAAATTACCACCTCCATAACTCGGTCAAATCTCATCCGATTTTCACGAAGTTTGGCGTTTTCTTCATGGTTTTCCCTTTAGATTAATTTGGCATTCAAATCTCGACACCGATTTTTTGGTCGAAATTCAAGTCCAAATCTTACCCCAAGATTCGTATATAGACATGGGTCAAATATGACCACCCCCATAACTCGGTCAAATCTCATCCGATTTCCACGAAGTTTGGCTTTTTCTTTATAGTTTTCCCTCTAGATTAATGTGGCATTCAAATCTCGACACCGATTTTTTAGTCGAAATTTATGTCCAAATCTTACCCCAAGATTCGTATATAGACATGGGTCAAAAATGACCACCCCCATATCTCGGCCAAATCTAATCCGATTTCCACGAAGTTTGGCTTTTTCTTTATAGTTTTCCCTCTAGATTAATGTGGCATTCAAATATCGACACCGATTTTTTAGTCGAAATTCATGTCCAAATCTTACCCCAAGATTCGTATATAGACATGGGTCAAAAATTACCACCTCCATAACTCGGTCAAATCTTATCAGATTTCCACGAAGTTTGGATTTTTCTTCATGGTTTTCCGTCTAGATTAATCTGGCATTCAAATCTCGACACCGATTTTTTAGTCGAAATTCATGTCCAAATCTTACCCCAAGATTCGTATATAGACATGGGTCAAAAATTACAACCCCCATAACTCGGTCAAATCTCATCCGATTTCCACGAAGTTTGGCTTTTTCTTTATAGTTTTCCCTTTAGATTAATTTGGCATTCAAATCTCGACACCGATTTTTTAGTCGAAATTCAAGTCCAAATCTTACCCCAAGATTCGTATATAGACATGGGTCCAAAATTACCACCTCCATAACTCGGTCAAATCTCATCCGATTTTCACGAAGTTTGGCGTTTTCTTCATGGTTTTCCCTCTAGATTAATCTGGCATTCAAATCTCGACACCGATTTTTTGGTCGAAATTCAAGTCCAAATCTTACCCCAAGATTCGTATATAGACATGGGTCAAAAATTACCACCCCCATAACTCGGTCAAATCTCATCCGATTTTCACGAAGTTTGCCTCTTTCTTCATGGTTTTCCCTTTAGATTAATTTGGCATTCAAATCTCGACACCGATTTTTTGGTCGAAATTCAAGTCCAAATCTTACCCCAAGATTCGTATATAGACATGGGTCAAATATGACCACCCCCATAACTCGGTCAAATCTCATCCGATTTCCACGAAGTTTGGCTTTTTCTTTATAGTTTTCCCTTTAGATTAATGTGGCATTCAAATCTCGACACCGATTTTTTAGTCGAAATTTATGTCCAAATCTTACCCCAAGATTCGTATATAGACATGGGTCAAAAATGACCACCCCCATATCTCGGCCAAATCTAATCCGATTTCCACGAAGTTTGGCTTTTTCTTTATAGTTTTCCCTCTAGATTAATGTGGCATTCAAATCTCGACACCGATTTTTTAGTCGAAATTCATGTCCAAATCTTACCCCAAGATTCGTATATAGACATGGGTCAAAAATTACCACCTCCATAACTCGGTCAAATCTCATCCGATTTTCACGAAGTTTGGCGTTTCCTTCATGGTTTTCCCTCTAGATTAATCTGGCATTCAAATCTCGACACCGATTTTTTGGTCGAAATTCATGTCCAAATCTTACCCCAAGATTCGTATATAGACATGGGTCAAAAATTACCACCCCCATAACTCGGTCAAATCTCATCCGATTTCCACGAAGTTTGGCTTTTTCTTTATAGTTTTCCCTCTAGATTAATGTGGCATTCAAATCTCGACACCGATTTTTTAGTCGAAATTTATGTCCAAATCTTACCCCAAGATTCGTATATAGACATGGGTCAAATATGACCACCCCCATAACTCGGTCAAATCTCATCAGATTTCCACGAAGTTTGGATTTTTCTTCATGGTTTTCCCTCGAGATTAATCTGGCATTCAAATCTCGACACCGATTTTTTGGTCGAAATTCATGTCCAAATCTTACCCCAAGATTCGTATATAGACATGGGTCAAAAATTACCACCCCCATAAGTCGGTCAAATCTCATCCGATTTTCACGAAGTTTGGCTTTTTATACCCTGAACGCATTAAAAATGGGTATAAGGGTATATTGTATTTGTGCGAAAGCCAAATGTATGTAACAGGCAGAAGCAAGCAACTCCGACCCCATAAAGTATATATATTCTTGATCAGCATAAATAGTTGAGTCGATCTAGCCATGTCCGTCTGTCTGCCCGTCCGTCCGTCCGTCCGTCCGTCCGTCCGTACGTATGAACGCAAGATGCTTCTGGTTCCCGCGCAGATCGAGTTTGTTTCCGATAATCAATAACTTACTCCGTTTCCAAGCAATCGATATCGATATCCTGTTTTTTGGGCAATTTTGGTAAATAATAAGAACTAGGTCACCAAACTTGACATATAGCTTCTAAAATAGAATATATATATGCATTTGATGTTGGAAGAAGAGGGTTCAGGGTATCCCCTAGTCGAGAGCTCCCGACTAGAACCTTGTTTTTTTATAAAATAGTATGCCATGAATTTTAAACAGATTCCTCTGTTGTAATATAGAAATTCGGAGTCAGTAGTATTTTGGAAATAGTTTTATGCAGTCGCCATTTTAGCAAATAATATAATTTGCTATGCTTTCAAATAAAATGATCAAACAAATTCCACAGTTAACGCACATCAGCCGATGGGCCCAATCGAAATGTAATTCCTGGAACCATTGCTTCTCGCGAGGCATGAAGGTGGCCATTGTGGGAGCTGCCGGCGGCATTGGACAGCCACTCAGCTTGCTGCTAAAGCAGAATCCACAGATTTCGGAGCTGGCGATACAAGATATTGTCGACACAAAGGGCATGGTTGCCGATCTGTCGCACATATCCACATCTACCACTGTGAAGTCCTTTACGGGAAAGGATGAGCTGGTTTGCGCTCTGGAGAATGCGGCAATTGTCGTTGTGCCTGCCGGGCTCCCTCGCAAGCCAGGGATGAATCGCAGTGATCTCCTGAGCGCTAACGGCAGCGTTGCAGTGGAGGTGGCAAAAGCAGTCAGCAAAGCTTGTCCGGCCGCGATGGTTGCCTTCATTACGAACCCGCTGAACACCGTAGTCCCCATTGCCGCCGAGGTGCTCAAGCAGGAGGACACCTTCGATCCGAATCGCTTGTTCGGCGTCACTACGCTGGACGTGGTGCGTGCCCAGACCTTCATTGGCGAAGCGTTGGGCGTTAATCCGCAGGAGGTCAAAATTCCAGTAATTGGCGGTCATGCTGGCATAACCATTCTGCCCGTCTTCTCGCAGTGCCAACCCGAATACAAACTCAATAGCGAGCAGCGGACAAAAATGTTGACCCGCATTCAGGAGGCCGGCACCGAGGTGGTCAAGGCCAAGGCTGGCAAGGGTTCCGCCACCCTCTCGATGGCCTATGCTGCAGCGAATTTCGTTAACTCGATTCTGCGTGCCATGAACAATGAGGAGAATATCATCGAATGTGCCTATGTGGCATCGGATGTCTCCGAGGCAGAGTACTTTGCCTCGCCCCTGCTTCTGGGCCCTAAGGGCATCAAAGAGAATCTGGGCGTTCCAGAGTTGGATGGGTGTGAGGAAGAGGCTCTAAAGTTGCTGGTCAAACAACTTCTTAAGGATATAGAAGATGGTGTCAAGTATGCTGACTGCTAAGTTGCAATCCTGCTAATCAACTCCAAATTACACAGAAAGTATGCTGATAAAGCTTAAATAAACCAAAGCCAGATTATTATTTTCTACGCGTCGGCCGTTTAAGGCCTTTCGCATTTATTTATATATTTGCACACACACACACACACACACACACACACACACACACACACACACACACACACACACACACACACACACACACACACACACACACACACACACACACACACACACACACACACTTCATATATTAGTATATGCACCCATGTCTATATTTGAAGACCCACTTTCAATACTGCCTAGGACAAACAAACAAAGTATTGTGTGTACTACCTATTGCTGATAAGTTAATCATCGGGCTGGAATCACCCATACTTCATTCCAAATATATATGCGAGCTTAAGCTCAACTAAGCACTCAAACAAGTTCGAATATAACAACATGAGTATGCACACGGGCTAGAATGAGTGATTCGTTCATTTTCCAAAAAACATTTCTGCACATATTTGTAATGTGAGAAGTTTTCACACTATTTTCAAATGTTTATTTAGATATGGCTTCGCATTAGATTCTCTTGATGAACTGTCAACTTGTTTAACCAAAGGCCATGAAAATCTGTGTGCTGGCTAATAGAGCAGCTAATCTAATGGTAACAATAATAATAACAATAATAGTATTAACGAAAAATATAATTCTTAATTTTAGGTATTGGTGTTGTTGGATATGGTGACTGATCAAGAAATGCATATTCGAATCGCAATGTTCGGAGGACCAATTTTCCGCGCATTGTTCGTTGACCCACAAGGTATGCACGACAGACAGAGGGGCTATATTCCATGTTGATTCTCTGATATAGGTATTGGTTAGATCTTATGGGTTCTAGTCTAGATGGAGATATATAGAAAAATATACTTTCGTACTTCAATATATTTAATTTTTATTTTATTTGTTTTATTTAATTTTACATGCATTCTTGAAAATGATTTGAATTAGCAACATTTATTTTAAGAGTTGTTTTAAATGTCTTATGCTCTGACGAAGACATCACTGTTGATATACCCTGTAATTTGTCTGTCTTATGCAAGCTGGGTTGACATATCGTATTTTGATCTTAATTAGTAAGAGGTTGCTTGAGTTGTGTTAAGATCAGAAATATATCGAATAGTTGCCATATATAATATTAAGCTATACTTATTTCTAGTTATCAAACAATAGAGGCATATTTTTTAAGCAATCGTAAACTGAAAACTTTAATTTAATTAAAGCTGTTGTGCTATAAGATAATTAAGTTCTTGGCTTAAAAAAAGTTCAAGTGGTCTTGTAAAAATGTATAAATGCATATCCATGGAGGAGGGTCAGTAGGGTGAATCTAAGGGAAGTCGATTCGTGTATCAACTGGCCTGCATTACCTTAATGATATTTTCCATAAAGATAGATAGAGCTCGTTGAAAATGTGTCTCAAGAAGTTGAGTTAAAAATAATAATCATATTTTCAAAGTTTATCTGTAGCACAAGCAGCTGCCTGGCCTAGTCGATATAGCCTGAGCCTGGTGGAATTCTCGAAAATACAAACCAGATGATAAGGCCTTGTATGCCTCATGGGCTAGCAGGTGTACCACCTGAAGCGTCGCAACCTTTGAATCATATCATGCTAGACTTTATAAGTATACAGAGTTGTTTTGATCGGAGACTGGCTGTTAAATATATCATATGGAGCAATCATAAGACGCAGCCCTTGAGGGACGGCATACGCCCAATTGTTGATTAAATCGATGAATAAACAAAATTTATAACATTTATAGCCATATCAATAAAAATAACAATGCATTGGCCCCCCTTGACAATGAACTTTGAGCGGCCGATTAACACTCAGCTACAGGCGTTTAGCTCTACGGACACGTCATCTTTGCCCATATTGTTCCCAATACTGATTGGGTTGGGTCAGGAGAGACCAGTCCTCGTCGTGATTGGTTACCGATCTGCCAGCTGGAACAGATGTTGGGGGTTCTGGTGGCACTATGCTTGGTGCTCGATCGGATTGTTGCCAACCTAGCTTGAGATACGGAAACAGTTAATTATTTTAAGAGTGTTATTATTATGGCGCGTCTGGGGTTATAAATACGTCTATATGTATAATGTTTACTCCGGCTCTCCTTATCACATGCCCGAGTTGAACAGGGTCGAAGCTGTTGTTTGTCTACCTCGCATGAGTAATTTCATCAGCCGAATTGTCTTCTGATCCAATCGGCGCAAAAGTCTAAGCACAACAGCTGCTTACAAAAGTTTATCCAATAGATTTGACATTTCGTTGGATTTCCCGAATATTAAAAGCCAATCGGAAATTGTTTAATTACAGAATGTGTTCGATTGCGTGTCCAAAGTTCTGGCACTTGAGATCCGCAATTCAGATCGGCAACTTGATACGACGATGTCTGCAAATGCTTTTTGCGTTTCAAAATTCGCCCACGTATGTTGATAAGAAGATCATAAATCATATAAACAAGTGTTAATGTGTCTGCACTTAAGGTTCATGATTTTTCTAACAGATTCTTCAATCACAACAGCGGCAACGGCCGAGGTCAATATGATGAAAAACAAATAACATGTGCATTCATTTCCCCTTGGTTTACTTCTGATATATCATTCTAGGTTGTGGTCCATAAAAAGACGACATGTCTTCGTTGCATTTTATACATTTGCATAAATATTACATTAAGTCTATCTTTATTTGAATTGAATGTATTGAATGCTACCCATTTCTGTTCCAATTCGCGATCAAGCGAGTATGAACCTATATACCATATATATTCCAGAGAGCAATTGCTCTTATCGATGCTTTCACACAGACAGACATGTGAGCAGACGGGAGAGTTGACTTAGATCAAGAATTTCTTTTTATTTACTTGATAGAGTCCGATGCCTTCTTTGCACCCAACACATACATTTGCACAATTTTGTCAACACTTTTACGGATTAAAATTTATTTTGTTTTAATGCGTAACGCATAGAAGAAGACGTCTCCAACAGCCCAGACGATATAGCCAAATACAATATAAACCCCAAGATGAGTAACGCCCAAGAATTTGAACGTGACGCCAAATTTCTAGCCTGGCTTTTCGCTCTTTAAACAATGCGCCAGCCGTCTGGCCTTTCGCTCTCCGAAAGCCATATCCATCAGCCCTTCTGCCTGCTTCTTGGTTAAATATTCTCTCAGTCTTATATCCATTTTCATGAAACTTAGCATAGATTGGTATTTCTGTTGCTCGGCACCGGCTGGATCGCATAACAATATCATACAGCTGTTATAGGAACGATCGGTTAAAAAGTCGGCTCTGATATGGAGCAACTTGCTTAAGATATCTGTACTCTTTTTAGTTTTTATAGTTTTCTGTTATGCCAGACAAATCAACATCGGCAACTATATCTTATGGATAAGATAAGATATATATAAAGATAACTGCACCAAGCCCGCTTATCATATCAGACAACTATATCACTCGGTTCTATATAAAGGATCTGTGGAAAACGATAATATATCAATATCTTCAATTGGGGTGTTTGTTATTCCCGCCGTATTTCTATGAGGGTATCAGATCTTTAATCTTTAATCTTATTATTATCATTATTTTTTGTTAATAACACTATTATTATATTGGCTGTACTGACAAAATAAAGTGCAGAAGTTTTATTTGAAGGAATTCGCAAGAATTTAGCTTACAAACAGATTTTCATCCCTAGTTTTAACCCATAGAAACTGTGAACCCAACTTATAATAAGCTATATATATAGAATCTATAAACTGAAAGTTGAAAGTTTACTAAAGTTTTCATGAGCCAACTTAAGTGGTTCGAGCTTTTACTCATTTATGCACAAACCAGCGATATTTGAGAAAAGCTTTTCTAAAGCTTTGGCTCGGGCTTCGGCACCGTTAATAATTGATTTGCATTGATTTTGAAAACCCCCAATAGACGTAGAATGCACCTCCTCGGAACCCAAGGTCATTTCTTGCCAATGCAACGATAAGACGAGATTGTAAAAACTGTGCCAGGGCGACATTTACCATATTTACATGTTACACCGCAAGACACCTGTCACACACGGGTCGAACATTGTTTTAAGCATTGAAGGTCTTAAAAAGAGAAATATGAAAAGAATTGACAGCCTGCAAGTATGTCAACCGACAATTGTAACACGCTTTAAGATTACGACAGCTGTTCATTAAACTGCCTGTTAAGCCCCCAATCAATACATTCTATATATATTCTTGCCCTACTTATCAACTGGATCCATTTGAATATTGAAGTAAAGCCAGTTTCATCGGAACCAAAGCAATTTCGCTCAATAGACAGCGCTATCAATAATAATTGGAGTATTGATTTAATAGACATCTGAAAGTGTGCCAACCCACAATTGTACTCATTATTCCAATAGATTACAAAATCTGTTCATTATGCATTCCGATTTCTGAGGCATTATTGCAATCCAGTCAAGAAAAAAATTTGTGTATATGTCTGCATAGGAATCTTAAGGCTGAATAATAAAAAGCTCTTTAGGTTGAGTTTAAACATTATTTTAATTAAAATAATAATTTGATAAGTTATAAATTATTCAGAGTTTCCAAATTTCCAAAACTCATGTCTTGAAAATTTGACATTTTAAGTGAGTGTTATTTTAAAAAGTATTAAGATAAGTTTATATACTAAAATACATAGGAACTTAAGTACTTTAACAAAGTACATTTAATTAAAATATATAATCAAGTACAAAATAGACAGTCAGGCGCATCCGACTTTGCACTACCCGTACATCATTTACTCCGGTTTTATAATGGGTTTAGACAACTTTATATAACCCTTTACATCAATTTAAAATACTAGCCTTATCATTTCCTATATACACATTTTAGTATGTCAATTAAACTCTCAATTTCGTAATGAATATCTTTCTGCCTGCAGTTATTTATCGTTCCTTTCTAACCCAAGTTAAAGTGAAACACGTATCCCGCTTGCTATGTTATCCATTGTGTGAGAAGGAAGAAGTTCGTTTCTTTTTTTCTACATTGTGCAGGTCGGAAGACAACAAAGATACTTATGTATAGCAAAATTCCTTAATGGCATTGTGAGCAGGGGCAGCTGCGTTGCACATGCGTGGCCTGCATTCAGTTGGGAGAGAAACAACGCAACAACTGATTGTTAATTCAACTGTTGAACAGTTTACCTGCATGCTTAGTCTGTCGGTGCAGATGCAATGGAGTGGAAAATCTGATAACAAAAGAGAAGCTGTGTACAACAGCAACAGCTGTGCCTGGCAAATGAATGGAACGGCATAGTCAACAGCTGCCACTGCCCCGCAGCTGAGCGCAACGACAGCAGAGAGAGAGAGAGAGAGCGAGCGCAGCAGTGTTAATCGCGAGAGCACTGTTAGCCCACCTAAGAGCTAAGAGCATGCAAAGAGTGGAGATGCGAGGTGCGAATTGAAGCGTAGCAGTGGCCAGACTGTTGGCAGTTCATTTGAGCATAACAGCGTGCAAACAGCAGCAGCAGCAGAAGTCTGTTAAGTTAACAGCGCTGCTCGCCTCTTAAATGCTCTTTGCCTTGGCTTCGCCTCCAACTAGAATTCAATTGTATCGGGAACTTTGCGTTGAACGGACGTTAATCAGCAGTTAGCTCTGCATTGAAATCGACGTCAACGGCAACGGCGTCTGCCAAAAATCGTGTTTAACAAAAATAGCAGCAACAAACAAAGCTAAAATATACATACTTAAACATATTTCGACAGGGAAGCGAATATCTATAACAAAAGTGAAAAAAAAAAAAACAACGGCGTGCGGTGCCGCTAAAATGTCTACAAATTACCAAAGTGTTAAATCATTTAAGCAAATTAAGTACGCACCATAAAAACTGCAATAGAACAGAAGCTGAAAGAAATCCCACGCTAAACCAAACTAAACCAACATAGAGCGAGGCCAGGCTAAACGCAACCTGTAGCTCGGGCAGCGACAGCAACTGCGACGCCAACGCAGCAGCCAGCAGCGCAGCTGACGCCTTGTACGTTTACGGACTTGGAATTGGTTTTCGTGTTTTCGTAACGCGGAAGCAGCTCAAAAGCAAAGCAGCAACAGCAGCAGAAGCACAGAAAAAAGAAAGAATTACAAAAAACCAAAAACAACAACAACAACAAAAGCCACAAACAGCTTTTACTTTCTGTTTGTTGGTTTGTTGGTTTTTTGTTTGTTTTTGTTTTGATTCAACCAAGGAGTCGACGAAATCAAATCAGAAACAGCCTTTAACATGTGGTGCATTGTGGACCTGCCGAACGGCATCCGACAGGCGGTCGAATTGGATCCCAAAGCCATCGGCCAAGAATGCCTCGAAAAGGTGAGCACAAGTCTTTGGACTTTGCGCGAAATACGCGTAAACAGCAAACGGCAAAAAGCAAGTGGCAACATTTGAATTGCAGATCGAAAAATAGCTAAAACTCAAAAATAACACAGACATTGAACCCAGCTGAAAACAAATGTGCTATTAGGCAGCGTATTAAGCATAGCTAATTGATTGGTTTAAATAACATTTTTTCCATATTTGAGAAAATGCCAGATTTTATGGTAAACCCAAGGACAACCCATGTTTTGTGCCTCGTTGAACCTTTACGCCCATTCAGTTATATTAACTATTTGAAAACTATTTGATATTGCTTAGTTTTCATCTAAAACTGGTTTTATTTGAGTTTTCCCTGCGAATAATCGAACATTTCGTTTTTGAACTTCAAAATGAGTTTGAATCTTGCCAAATCGTATTATTCCCCATTTCCCAAGTGCAATTTACATTTTGCATTATAGAAACTATCTTGATTATTCATGTTTCAAATGTCTGTTATCAGTGTGTCATTTGTTCTTATCAGTGCTCAGCTTAATTTGTTGTTTACGTGTTTGTTATATTCGCCTCAAAATGCCGAGCGAGATGCCCTTGATAGGCGTCGTACCCCCCGCATGGAGTCGTATGGGGTCTTGAGCAGTCGAAGTTTGCTTATCATCAGCTGCCTGGGTTCGAGGGCGTACCGACTTTTTATTTCACTGCGCAGAAGACACGGGGAGAATTGAGAAGCGAGAAGTGAGAATTGAGAAGTGAGAAGCGAGAGCCGAGCCCCAAGAACCAAGACTTGACAAAAGTTAGCTTAAAGCGTGGAAAAACAAGGTCACAGCAGTGCGTAGTACAGGGAGCCAAGTCCAGCTGGGGGCACACCATATATGGTCATACTTACACCGAAGCGTATATTATATGGCAGATATATGTATATGGCATATGCCATATGGGTTTTTACGACAGTTCAATGTCCAAGTGCGCGGCCCAAGCAAACACTTGAGAGTCGCTGCTTCTGTTACGCCTCGCAGTTGTTAACGCCCCCTCCAGCAGCCACCCCCTACCCCTGCGTACCCCACTTCAGTTATCGTCTTGTGGCTCATTTAGACCCTTGACTTTGGGTCAGATTACGGCCCAATTCGGCAATTCGAGTTGTTTGTTAGCCTAATTAAGTCTTTTGCCGTATTTGCGTTGGCCCAGCCCCAAATAGGCTTCAGCTCTGCGTTGTTTGTGTGCAATCTAATCAGAGACGCAACTTATCAAAAGACTATAAGACATACTCCATTTGTACATACATATATGACCGTATAACTGTGCATCTGTGTGTGTGTGCGTATCTGTCATATAGTACATGTATGTGGCTAGCAAATGGCTGTGTAAATATGTGTACTACCAATGCTCGACTCCTTCGTCCGTGGCGTTGCCAAGTTTCTTATCGCCAGCAACCTGAAAGCCACGGTAAATATTTTCGTTAACTTTGTATTGTTTTTGCCCAACTAATGGCACTCTTGCCATATCTTATCACGTATCTGAGCCATCGAACATCCAAAAACTAGCGCGAAACTCGCTTACAAAACGCATTTAGGCGTTTTATGGAATATGGAATACCTATTGGGGTATAATTCCAATAGCACATGCTTTAAATTTGACATAATCACAGAAAACAATTTAATTTATTAACTCGTCTTCTTACCTGGGACTTGCAAAAGTACAGATAAATTTCGATGTTCTTCAAATAATTGCTGTTATTTATTTTCCCAGTTTTCAACATTCTTTTTGCCCTGAAATAAAAATTAAATTATCTTAAACTAAGAAACTTGTAAAGTCTTGGCATGTCATCTAAATTTCTGAAGAATTCCTTAAATATAAATCTCTGAATCTTTTGCCTGATGCAATTTTTCAGCGCAGCTTTCGTCAGATAATTGAGCAGAAGCCAAGTTTTTATACTTAAATGTTAATTGAAATATTATTAAAATATTGCCTTCAATTTGAATCTGATATTGAAAACTGTTGCAGATACGTGATATTTGTGCCGCGTTGCGTTCTGGTTTATTCATAATTTGTATTCACGCGATTCATTTATGACTTATTCAGTATTCACTTGTCTTTGTCACAAAGTCGATTTGCCGCATTAATACAGTTAATATTTAATCAATCCGCTTGTGTTTGACTGGATCTGCCTTCTTATCAAAGCGAATTCGACTTTGATTTTGGCTTTTGGCTTTTAGTCACGGCTTATCAGCTATGACAGAGCTCTTGTAATGCTGATAATCAGCGAGTGTCCGGCGTAGATTTATGACGATGTCAAACGATGAAGTCATTACCTGTCAACTGCCACGCCCCTCCCCTCCCACTGGCTATGCAGGCCATGAAAACCTGTTAATTGAATTACGCAAGTCATTTTTTAATTAATTTCCAGCCAATTGCGAAATTAAAGCGCACATAAAATATATCTGCAAAGCACTTCACAGCCAATTAACTTCCGTTCTCAAGTGTTTGTCACAGTAGGGGCGGCAGTGGGCGTGGTGCACTATGCGATTCCATAAGCTACATACGCCAATTAAGACGTAATAAAATTGCAGACATGTGTGATTCCCGTGCTAATTGCAACTGCACCTGGACATGGCCCGAAATTCATTTTGCCTGCAAAATGGGCAATCACAATATTTTGCATCCAATCACAAATCACAGAGTTGATTTTGATTAAAACTTAACAAAATTGTGCAGATATATGCCATTTCAAGCAGATTCCTAATGAATGCAAGAAAAGCTGTCAAATTTTGACAGGCACTTTAACAGCTGTTGTGTTTTTAGACTGCATTTTGACAGGTACATTTAAATAATATTTTAATTATTTTAAAACATGAACTCTGACTGAAAAACGCAGAGAAACATTTCAATATGAATAAATTATAATTTAAATTTGACTAAAAACGAATAACATTTTTCGTTTTTTATTCTTTCAACTTAATTCAAGTTAATTTATTGAAACTTTGCAACTTAAATTAAGATAAATCTTACATATGATTAAGTCCATTCGAGTTGAGGTTTGTTAATGGCAAGATTTATGGTGTGAATCATGTGCAGATGCCGTCGCCTGCTAAAGATTCCCAAGTCGGAGAACAAGTAGTCAGAGGAGCTTCACTTGCTTCTTGCCAACTGTCAACTTCTCTCTAGCTTCTCGCTGCTATGGAACCAATGCAACCAATGTGATTTGAAATTTTCTGGCTAACATTTGTCAAGCTCGCCGTGCGCGTCAGTCTGGCTATCAGGCAATCAGCCTTCTGTGCTCGAACCGAGGCTTGAGCCGATCAAGATTAGGAGCAGCTGGTGCAAATGAACTGTGCACCGGCCAGATAAGCGGCACTTCCATGGCAACGAGCGGAAGGTGGCTGGGTTGGCTGGTTGGCTTAACTGTGCATCGGCTTTTGAATTGCATAATTTAAAAAGCGGCTGCGCTTATCGCTGGTGGGTATTGAACCCGAGTGCGACGGACGGGGCTTGGCAGGCGGTACACATTTGAATTACACGTAAGGTTCCCTTAGAATGGCAAAAGTTCTGTGCAGTCCCGCTTGCATGTCAAAGGCAAATTACAAAAATGTTCGTTACGGGGATTCAATTCAACTGCATTCAAAGTCAGCCGGGGGGTAGGGCAGAGTTCCGTTTCGTGCCAGACGAACTGCAGGCCCAGCAACATGATGGTTGATGGTGTGGAGGATGGTGCTCGGCCAGCACCATGGGCGACATCAAGCAACAGTTTTCGCAGCTTGTTAATGAGTTTGCTAATTACCTGTTACTTGTTGCCACAGTGGAGCATGCTGCAGGGCGCCAGCACAAGGTCAACAATAGCTGACAATTTGATATTAGATATGAAAGAGCGCTTCCTAAATAATAAACACAGCTCTTGTGTTTACTCACTCCGATTGAGAAACGTATCGGATGGCTTATCGTGTGCCCACTGTACTGCAGGCAATTACATTTCGCGGTTTCGAGTGGCTACTTATTCCGAGTACCGAGTAAAAAGTACTGCAACTGCCATCGAAATCGAACTGCATCCATGACTGCAGGGCGCAAAGTCCACAAATATTGCCATGACGCTGCACATTTGCCGTCACTCGAGTAACTCGAGAGAATTATGATTAATCAATCGACTTTTACGACTTACGGCCTAAACACACAAAAATCAAGTTAACGAATGGCGCGAAGCACAGTTTCTATGATTCATCCAAGAGTTCTGTGTGAGAACGAAACAGTTTGTATTTTAACTAGATCTTCTCAAGGAATAAATATGCCTATATTAGTTATAAAGATATGTTATATAATTCATGCTGATTCCAAGGGAATTGAACCACATTTGGGGTTTTTCTTAAGTCGATAAACTCTATCGAGATATTATACCAGCTGTGAGTAGCAGTCATGGGAATACTGATTCACCTTTCATTGCACAAGGTGCTACTCTTTCTTCCGATCCAGTTGAGGCTGTGATACCATTGTACCTAGATGCGCACTCATTTAGCTGACGTCAATCATCAATAGCATCCACGGTATTCTATTGACTGAGGCCATATCAGATTGCCAGAACAAGTTGTCAGCGCAGTGAATGCAAACTGTGCTCCAATTTGACTTGTTGGGTGTAATTATATTTGTGCCCAGTGCTGTCAGCCGTGGGGCGGGATGCAGCTGCAAAGATCAAGGATGCAAGGAGCATATGGCTGAGGTATGTGCGCAGGAGGCAGGCTCAAGTGCGTGGCAACAATTGAATGGCAAAGGCGTCGACGACAAAATCCCAGAGCTGATGAGGCATCTCAAGTGGCCCGGCAAGCGGGTCAAGTGCAGCAGCTGCCGCTGGCCAATTTGCTTGACAGCCATCAACAAAGGAGGCGCCTCTCACGCCCAGTTTTTGTTTGGCACATGGCTGCCAAGGAGAGCGTATCTGTAGCTGTATCTGTATCTGATGGATACACAAGTTCTATGAACTAGCTGATGTGTGTGTGTGTGTGTGTGTGTGTGTGCGTGTA